ACACGTAGGAATTCAAGGAAAGCTAGCAATATCATTTGGAGCATATAGAGACAATTTAAGCAATTATCAAACTCAATCATAACGAAATACTCTCCACATTGAACATAAGGACCTACGAACCCTAGAGCATATTTTCCACAAATAAGTCCGAGCACACACTCGTCACCTCGCATGCACGGACTACAATTAGCATAGAAGACTCAATTCCCAAGGGGGAAGTCCCCCACACAAGGTTAGGCAAGATACTTACCTCAATCCGGCCAATTCAATACTCAATTTAGCTTTTCCTTTTTCCAGTTCATCAATGCTTGGCTCAATCTAGCCAAAAACGACTTGAATACATCTAACAATGCAAGAGAAAATAATTTCAATTAACAAAGATATGATTCTTATACAATTTGCGAAAAGTCAACAAAAGTCAACTCCCGGGCCCGCACCTCAGAACCCGACAAAATTTATAAAAACCGAATACCCAATCCGATACGAGTTCACCCATACAAAAATTATCCAATCCCGATACCGTTTGGTCCTTCAAATGATCCTTTTATATTTTTGAAAGATTCCATAATTTTTCCCAAATTCCATCCCAAATCACGAATCAAATGATGAATTCAATGATAGATTCATGTATTCTAGCTAAATCCGAGTTAGAATCACTTACCCCGATGAATTTCTTGAAAAACCTTCGAAAAATCGCCAAAATCCGAGCTCTCTAGGCCAAATTATGAAATAAAACCCTAAACCTCGTATTTATAGTTCACCTCCCGGATTCCACCAATGCTGACCGCACAAAATCGAGTGCGGTCCGCACAAAATCCATTGCCCCCGCGGTGGATTTTGACTGCAGTGACAGGCCTTAGCATTTGGGACATAACTTTTGCTACAGATGTCCAAATGTCCATTATAATATGTTTCTGAAAACTAGATTCAAAGACTACAACTTTCGTTTTTGAATCATCCCCAAATTCCTTGTAGATCAAAAGATATGAGCTTCCGAAGTTGGACCAACGACCTGCGGATTCTTCATGACCGCGGACCATTTTCCGCGGCCGCACTAAATCCACCGCGCCCAGCACTAAATCCACTGCACCCAGCGCTAAAACTTCTGCCCCCATCCATTTTCTAAGTTCCGGAATGTCCGGACTCGCTCCAAACTCACCCGAAACACATCCGAGGCTCCCGGAACCCCGTCTAATCATACAAACAATTCATATAACCTAACACGGACTTGCTCGAGGTTTCAAATCACATAAAACAACAACAAAGCAACGAATAAAACCAAAAATCAAGCTTAGAAATTTCCAAATCTTCAAACATCAAACCTCATGCCGAAACCTATCAATTCAACTCGGAATAATGCCAAATTTTGCAGACAAGTCCAAATTGACATAACGGAGCTGCTCCAACTCTCGGAATTGTATTCCGACCCCGATATCACAAAAGTCAACAATGGGTCAAAACTTCAATTTTTCCAACTTTCGCCGAAACACCTCAAATTACCCTAAGGACCTCCAAATCCGAATCCGAACGCGCTCCTAAGTCCAAAATCACCATACGAAGCTATTGGGATCACCCACGACCCATTCTGGGGCCGTTTACTCAAAAGTCCAATTCCAGTCAAATTTTCACTGTTTAAACTTCCATAACTAGGTTCCTTCCTCCAATTCAATTCTAATTCATCCGGAAACTGAATCCAAACATGCACACAAGTCGATGTACATAATGTGAAGCTGCTCGAGACCTCAAACTACCGAAGTGGACGCAATTGCTCAAAACGACCAGTCGGGTCGTTACAAGTACGCAAAAGATGCTTAAGTCTAGTTGAGTATTTTTCTAAAATACATATGATTGCTGTTTATTTTTTTTTCTTTTTTTTCCCCTCAAGTTATAAGCTTAATAAAATTTCCATTCCATCATGAAAACATTTTAGCTTACTTTTTTGGAATCTAAACGTATTTTGCTAATTCAAAATTTTCAAATTTGTCTTCTTTTAAAGCCGTTCTAGTGCATTGAGGTTTCTTTTGAATTATTCTTTTTTCAATTACTATAAAAGATTTTGACCACTTCACATCAAAATATTTTATCTCACATTTTTTTAAAGGTATTATTAACCTAAGTTTGACCGGTTAATTGTAATTAACGGATCATATAGGGTGCCTTAATAACCTTCCCTATATGATTAATTAGAACCCTTACCCATACTCTTAAGTTAAGCAGACCATAAAACAGAGTTAACTTTAAGCACTACTTAGTTAAAATTGGTGTTCTAATTCACCGTTAAAATAATTAGGTTGCGACTCTCTTTAATTAATTAAACCTTCAGAATTACCAATATGTTATACTCTAGTTTGACCTATATTTAAATGGGGTATAACAGCATGGCGACTCTGCTGGGGATACTAGGTTCTAAACCATAACAAGCTTAGGTTAATAATAAATTTGATTTGTTTGTATTTGTTTATGATGCTTATCTGAATTGCCTTATGTGATAAATTATTTTATATGAATTGTTTATCTATACTTATTGCTTTATAAATTGTCATTTCGTTTCACTTCCTCCACACCTGGAAAATTCACACAAAGCACACACCTAGCGGTTCTGTGGTTTGCGGCCGTGCACTTTTTAAAAAAATACCCTTTAGGGGAAAGTTCGTGGGTAAGTCGACCAGCGGTGCAGTCGACAGCCACGGGCTCTCCACTCTCAAGTTGTCTGCTTGGGAGAAGACCAGTCTAGAAAAACCCACTCTAGTCAGCCTATGATAGAGCTAAACCAAATCCCTTTTAAGAGCATGCATCATTTTAACCTTAGGTGATTTAATACCCGAGGTGTATTAAATTCATTAGTTAACCTTACCTAAATGTCCAAATGGATTTTCAACCCCAAGTGACACCTTATCACGAATATGTGCATTATTTGAAGGGTGAACATGCCAATTATGCGGACCATTTGCAATTAATTAATTCCTAGATAAAGGAGCATGACCAACTTTTTTTTATGATATATATGAAAGCTTTCGAATTACATAATTAATGAGAAGTTTAGACGTGACAAAATATATTTTATTATACTTTCTTTTGATCTTTTGATGAAAATACACTCCCTTTTTACAAAAAAAGAAAGAGGTTTAAGCAGTTATACTTTACTATTTATTTGCTTTTCAAAAAAAAAATAGGATTACTTAACTAATCCACAGCAATGGGATGATACATAATGGCATACTTATCTTTCAAATACATGTTAGGCCTACCTCTGGCACAAAGAGGTCCCCTGCATATTAGAACGCACTATTATTTGTTATGCTTTGGAATTGTCACATGCTTTGCTTGCTACTTGCTTACTTACTTGACTTTATTATTTCTACTAACATTATCTGTTGTTTTTCAGATAAATGAAGTATTAACTATCCAACTTGCTTACATCTTTATTGAAATATATACTTTTATTTGTTCATGTATTTTTTCTTTTGCTTTTTTTATATCATCTTCCTGAATTAATAATAATAATTACCAATCGATCCGCACTTAGCGCTCTTTAATAATCTAGAGTACTTCTTAGGTATTTACTTAGGCCCAAATTTCTCTTAGGTCCACTCCAATTCTTAGAATATAATTAAAATATCCTTTTAGTCTCTGGGCATGATCTTCTATTTTTGTAAGGTAGGATATTTTGCCCGCAAATCCTTCAACAAGCTCAGTTCGTTATGAAATACCTCGATATTCGTGCCTTTAACTAGCCTTAAGAATTTTCTTTACACAAGAATAAGCATCTTACTCCCTATAGCAAGATAGCATTCACACTTCTTTAAAAAAAAACTGGTGTAATCTTTTATAATATGAAAATATTTTGCCTATCTAATTTCGCTAGTTGATTTTATTCGCGTTCTTTTCTCAAAAATGTAGTTACATAATTTTTTTAAATATTGCCACTCGTGCCTACATAATTTTCGATTCTTCCTTAATTTTTTCAATTCTGACATAATCTTGTATCGCTGATATTCGTCTCATAGCTTCATATCTCTTAGAACTTCAACCTTCATGCCAACACACATTTCCAAGTTGGTAGATGTCGAAACTTGCGCAATCTACCAAGCAATAGAAGGCCACTATTTGGTCAATTCGCATTGTCAAACTATTCAAAAAATTTACCTATTCAATTCAAGTGTCCGTATCGTCTTATTTTGGGTCGTGGTGATTAATCTTCACGCACCCGTTAATTCTAAGTTTTGGCACGTTAGTCGAGGTACTATCCTATAAGTCTCAAAACGGTTGATATCGTATTTCGGGCCTCGACAAATTTATGATTTGCCAACGCTAATAAAATAAATAAAAAATAATACAGTCATTTAATGTCCAATTGACTCTTATATCCTAATCAAGTATTTTGATTTTTAGCTTGTCGATATTCAAACAGCCAAAAATTATTTTAAACGTCAAAATTATTCGTCTCTGGCCTCTTTGAAACACAGTCTATATAAGACTCGGTCTCATCATAGCAAAATTTTCATTTTCCTTCATGAAAGAAACTGGGGCAGATTTTTAGCACGCAGGTTGAGTATGCTCGAAAGGGACATCATGTCATGGAGTAATAATAAAAAAAACTTCCTAAAGATCGGGGTAATTTTTTGAAAATTCCAGAACCATGAAAGGACAAGAACCTATGATAGAGCTAAAGTTTTGATGTTCGACGTGAGTCAACTTTTCACAAACTTTAAATCAATTCGCTTTCTTGTCAACAAGTCTCTAGCGTTAGAGCCCTCTAGATAACAAGTTATTCTCGTCCATCCATTTTGCAACTTAGGCTATTGTTTCTAGTTTAGGGCTCCTTCTTAACCATATCATAAATTAATCTATCTAATCATATTTATTATTTTAGTGCATTTATTTGTTATGACGAATGTGCTAACACTTTATTTTGTTTGTAAAAGTTTTATTTTTCTTTAAAGGTTGCCTAGCATTGAACACTGTTTTGGCTGCGAATCTGCATCAAGGACGCAACTATAATGGCAAACCAATTTGGAGCATTCAGTACCGGTAAAGGTTTGTTGCAAGTTGAGACTGATGGTGAGGAGACAAATGTTGTACGGAGAATCATTTTGGTCAATCTGGGAAATACTTTCAACCTTCTCCCCAACCCAAATTTTGCGTCCAGCTCAACCCGAAATGTCTCTTTGACCATATCTCCTCATCCAGCAAATATTTACATAAGTCCTCCACCAATACCGCCAAAATTTACTATCAATCCAGAGGCTTTTCCAGTCATCATGATGACCAATGCCCAATCGTCTGCACTTGCAACATCAGTCACAGAAAGCCAACAAAAACAACTGACGCTATGTCCATACAAAAGACCAGGAAAGGAAATTAAGACAACTAGCTGGGATGATCCAGATAGAGAGCTCCATAACCTAAAAAAGATCGCGGAGGAAGAAATGCGCACAAGAAATATTCAGAGTTTAAGATATGAAAGTTTGTGCATGCATCCAAATGTTGAGCTTCCGCCAGGTTTCAAAATTCCAAAATTCAATACTTTTAACGGAAAAGGAAATCCTATTTCTCATTCAAAAGACTATTGCAGCAGATTAGTGGGGGTTGGACATAATGAAGCCATTCGAATGAAGTTGTTCATTCAGAGTCTAACAGGGCTAGCGCTTGATTGGTTCACTCAACAAAATTTTAGCAAATGGTACACGTGGGAAGACATGGTCCATGATTTTGTAGAACAATATAAGTTTAATATTGGAGATAGTCCAATGATTTGTTATATGCGTGAAGTAGAAAGAATGCAACGCGAGTATTTTGTAGAATATGCCATGCGATGGAGACTGGAAGCTTCAAAAATACGCCTCAATTGCCCGAGAATGAGTTGATTTCCACCTTCATCGATATGCAAAAAGGCATATATTATTAGAAGTTGTTATGTGCTCGACTACATGACTTCTCGGATTTGGTTAGAGTTGGAAAGCTAATAGAAGCAAGCATTCGAGCAGGAAAAATTATTGACAATTCAAAATTACAAGCCACTTTCCAAGATGAGACACCCGAGAATTTACAAGGCGAAAAGAGGAAGATAGATTCTGCTTGCATTCCCGCTCATCAGCCACAATCCCAACAAAAAGCCAGCTGCTACAAACTCATATACAACTCCAACCTACTCAGCAAAGCGTTCAACATCAAGCTTATCAAGCACAATCTAGCTATCGTCATTCAGAGAACCTGAAATTCCGCACTTTTACTCCTCTGAAAGAATCATTGACAAGCATATTTGAGAGATTGAAAGCGAAAGGACTTTTACAGCCAAGGAAAGGATGGATCCCGCAAAATCTTCCTCCAGATTTTGATTAGTCGAAAACTTGTGCATACCATTCATATATTCAAGGTCATGACACAGAAGAGTGCCCAGCACTTAAGCATAAGATTCAGAACATGATTGAAAACAACAAGATAATTGTGCAGCAAGAGCAACCATGCAACAACTATGACCCTTCAGTCGCTAATGCCATCATGGTTAAAGGTGATCTTTCAAAGTTGGCACCAAGACCTTTGAAGAGAAAGCGTGAAGCTAAACAAGATTATTGACTAGAGCTTTTCATCACGACTATTTTGCCCGCCCTTTCATGATTGACTCTGTTTCATGTACTTTTGTTAAACTTTTGTATGAACTACGTTTTGACCTGATTCCCGTTTAAGAGGGGATACGCAAGCAACCTTATGGGTTCGGTATCAACATAATAAAATTCTATTTACCCCAAAAGCCAAAACCGGGATAGCTTTTGCAGAAGGATACTCATCATTCGGCAAAGCAGAAAATGAAATTCCGAGCTACATATTTGTTACAAGCACAACAGCAAATTTCCAGAATGTCATAGCAGCAAGTTGTAGATTCAAAGCCAAAACATTGAAGTTCAATGCAAGGCAACCACTTTATTTTATACTAATGAATTTTCTTTGAGTAAAGCAGGGGCAAGCTCTAGCCATTCTCGATCAAGACCATCTGCGTGATGGTCCAATGCTCAGTATCAAGCCAAAATTGCAAAACTCAGACAATGAGAAAGATGAAGCCAAGCCAGCATAAATCAAATTTTAGTTAACTACACAATTTTTACTTTTGTAGTGCANAGAAAGATGAAGCCAAGCCAGCATAAATCAAATTTTGTAACTCACAATTTTTCTTTGAGTGCAGGAATTTAATAATAGATAATTTCAGCTTGAAGATCTCACAAGCGTCGGCATTTCACCATGAACATCTGCTACTGCATTGCATCAAGCTCTTTACACCATACAATTTGCTATTTCAAAGACATTGCACCACGCTCTCCGCATCACACCTTGAATACTCGAAGGCATCGCACCAAGTTCTTCGCCTGCATCATGAATATTCATTGCTTTGAATCAGGAATTACACCAAGCTATTTTTGCGTTTCACTAATGTTCTATGAATCGGGCATCACACCAGGCCCTTCGCACTGCACCAATCTTGTAATATTAAATCAAGCATCGCATTTAGGCTTGTCCGCCTTTAATAGGACACTTAGGCTCGTCCGCCTTTAATAGGACGTTTAGGCACATTTTGCCTTTAATTAAATATTTAGGCTTATCCGCCTTTAATTGGATATTTATGCACATTTATCTTTAATTAAACATTTAGGCTTGTCCGCCTTTAATAGGACATTTAGGCTTGTCCGCCTTTAATAGGACACTTAGGCTCGTCCGCCTTTAATAGGACGTTAGGCACATTTGCCTTTAATTAAATATTTAGGCTTATCCGCCTTTAATTGGATATTTATGCATATTTATCTTTTATTAAATATTTAGGCTCGTCCGCCTTTAATAGGACAGTTATGCACATTTGTCTTTAAGTAAATATTTAGTCTCATCCGTCTTAAATAGGATGTTTAGACTTATCCGCCATTAATTGGAATTTTAAGCAAATTTGCCTTTAATAATAATATTTAGGCTTGTCCGCCTTCAACAGGACATTTATGCATTAAAATTTAGGCTTATCCGTCTTTAATTGGAATTTTAAGCAAGTTTGCCTTTAATATGATATTTAGGCTTGTCCGCCTTCAACAGGACATTTATGCATTAAAATTGCCTTTATGATATTTAGGCTTGATCGCCTTCAATGGAACGTTTAGGCTTGTCTGCCTTTAACATGACTTTTATGAATTAAATATTTAGGTCTATCCTCCTTCAATTGGATATTTAGGCTCGTCCGCCTTTAACAGGACATTTATGCACATTTATCTTTAATTAAATATTTTAGGCTCATCCGCCTTAAATAGGATATTTAAGCTTATCCGCCTTTAATTGAATTTTTAAGCACGTTTGCCTTTAATATAATATTTAGGCTTGTCCGCCTTTAATAGGATAGTTATGCCCATTTGTCTTTAATTAAATATTTAGGCTCATCCGCCTTAAATAAGATATTTATGCTTATCCGTCTTTAATTGAATTTTTATGCAAGTTTACCTTTAATATGATATTTAGGCTTGTCCGCCTTCAACAGGACACATTATCACATATTCACATGCTTTTCATTAATTTATTTCGACCTAGATGGTCATGTTGTTAATGTCATTACTGAAATGCATCATTATCATAAATCATTGCAAAGCACATTTATATACTACATGTTATTGTTGAAAATCATCATTGGCATAAAGCGACATTTTTATCAAATCATTTTGGCCGACTAGGCCGCATTGTATAAGTAAACGCCCAAAAGGTGTCATTTTTATAAGATTACTTTACAGCACATTGCATTTCAATATCTACTCTACTGACGAATTTGCCCTGCAGGAAATATAGTGCAACATGGCGATCAAGCCGAGTTACCGCAAATTATATTTTAAAACTCATAGTTTTCTTTCAGTGCAGGAATTTACTAATAATAAACTTCTGCATGCAGATTCCAAATTATTCGCACCGCTCCCTGAATATTTGATTCTACAAAGACACTGCATCAAGCTCCCCGCACCATGGATATTCGCTACTATAAAGTTACTGCACCAGGATTCTTGCATCACACCATGAATCACCACTACAAAATGGGCACCATATCAAGATCTCTGCACCGTATCAAGCTCTTCGCACTGCATCAAGTTTTGTAATTACAAATCAATCACCATATATCGGGTCTATCCGCCCTCAAATAGGATGTATCGGGTCTATCCGCCCTCAAACAGGATATTTTGGGTTCATCCGCCCTCAAATAGGATAAATCGGGTCTATCCGCCCTCGAATAGGATATATCGGGTCTATCCGCCCTCAAATAGGATATATCGGGTCTATCCGCCCTCGAATAGGATATATCGGGTCTATCCGTCCTCAGATAGGATATATCGGGTCTATCCGCCCTCAAATAGGATATTTTGGGTTCATCCGCCCTCAAACAGGATATATCGGGTCTATCCGCCATCAAATAGGATATATCGGGTCTATCCGCCCTCAAATAGGATATATTGGGTTCACCCGCCCTCAAACAGGATATTTTGGGTTCACCCGCCCTCAAACAGGATATATCGGGTCCATCCGCCTTCGAACAGGATATATCGGGTCCATCCGCCCTCAAATAGGATATATTGGGTCCATCCGCCCTCAAATAGGATATATCGGGTTCATCCACCCTCAAATAGGATATATTGGGTCCATCTACCCTCAAATAGGATATATCAGGTCCATCCGCCCTCAAAGAGGATATATCGGGTCCATCCGCCCTCAAACAGGATATATCGGGTTCATCTGCCCACAAATAGGATATATCGAGTCAATCTGCCCTCAAATAGGATATTGAAGTTAATCCTTCCTCGAAAGAATATTTAATTTATTTTGACCCCAGTGGTCCCGCTTACATAAACATTGCCAAAACATATTTTTCATAAATCATTGCCGAATGCATTTATCTTTATAAACTAAATTTCCATGTGCCATTGCCGACCATGAAATTGTCACTATAAAACTATATTTTTATATGTTTGCAGAATAAATTCGCTTTTCTTATGAATTAATGCCTAAATATTAATTTCATAAGATTATTTTTTATGGCATATTGCATCTTATTTCCTAACGAATTTTCTTAGCATTGTCAAGTTCTGCAGGAAAAATAGCGCAACGTGGAACTATATCTTAGCAGTGAACTGGGGCAGTTTGTTGGGGAGGAATACCAAACTCTCCAACAAAGGTCAAGGATCTACTTCGAACTCCGCTCGACTCAACTCTCAAAATTCCTAACCAAATCCTTATTTCAAATATCTTTCTTTCAATCATGGTACCCAGTGTCTCTATAATTCAACACTGGGGCAGCATTTTAAGGTTTGCATCAATAGTTGAGTCCAACTCCAGGGTACCATAAGTCTTGAACTACATATGGCCTGATTCTCGTGAAACCCGAGATATGTAGCCAACTCGAAACTGGAGTTCGGCCGCAATCATTTTTTTTACGTCCCCTTTGTCCCATTCCAACCCTGATGGTCGGGACAAAATTGACTACTAAGTCAATATTCTTTGCCCAAAAACTCTTTCATCGTTTCCGGTCAAAGAGGGGCAGCTGTTGACATCCAATTTTGTCCCTCCTTTCTTCCAAACTATTTGTTTGAACTTCTAATATTGCTAATAATGTAAGAATAATTATTTCACCATTATTATCCCAAAATAGACATATTTAGTATCATTATGTTTATTATTGTTATAATCTTTATTGTTATTATTAGCATTGAACATTATATTATTATTATTATCGTTATTATTATTATTATTATTATTATTATTATTGTTATTATTATTATTATTATTATTATTATTATTATTATTATTATTATTATTATTTGTCACAACCCAATTCCCACCCGGTCGTGATAGCGCCTCTCGT